CAACCAATAGTGAGATATTCCCTCACTCGTTTATTTGATTCCTACTCATTTATTTGACTCATTCTTAAGCCTAACAGCTAGCAGATATGCATGGCCACGCGTCCTGCCCTTCATGCAACGTAGTCCTGATAATGTGGATTCTTGGCATGGTTCCTTGCTGACCTTCTCCACGTATCATCCCCCCCCCCCTTGAAGTGGAGATTAATGAACTGACTTTTTAACTACTGCGTATTCTCCCAGGTTGCCTCTTCCCTTGGAAGATTCTTCCATTGCACCAAGCTTTCTTCCACGAAGCCCGACCCTTTTCGAACCCAGCRTGTATYCAGTATAGCCTCTGGTACCGCTATTACCTCACCTTCATCATTCGTTGGTGGTAAGTCAAATCCAACAGAGGTGTCTTCTCCCACAAATTTCTTGAGCATTGACACGTGGAAGACAAGATGGATACGGGCACCCTCCGGCAGCTCGAGCTTGTATGCAACGCTCTCAATCTTCTCCTTCACTCGGTATGGGCCGAAGTACTTGCTAGCGAGTTTGTGGTGGACTCTTTTATAAGCAGTGTGCTGGCGATATGGCTGGAGCTTAAGCAATACAAAATCACCTTCTTGATAAACAACCTCCCTTCTCTTTGAGTCCGCTATTTGCTTCATGCGATTAATAGCCGCCTGTAGGTGAGACTTTAGTTGTTTGAGAATGTTGTCCCTTGTCTCCAATGCATTTTCGACCTCATGGACAGGTGATGTGCCGGTTGAGTAATGCGTAATTGCCGGTGGAATCCTCCCATATAGTGCTTGGAAGGGAGTCATGCCGATTGAGCTATGGTACGTAGTGTTGTACCAGAATTCGGCCCACGGCAGGTAATTGCTTCATCTCTTCTGTTGCTGGGATACAAAGCAGCGCAAGTACTGCTCCAAACAGCGGTTGACCACTTCGGATTGTCCATCCATTTGGGGGTGGTAGGACGTACTCATATGCAGCTTGGACCCTGACAGCTTGAAAAACTCATGCCAAAAATGGCTAACAAAGATGGGATCTCTATCACTGATAATAGATTTTGGCATCCCGTGAAGTTTAACCACTCCTTCTATAAATCTGTCAGCAACTGTTTTGGCCGTGTGTGGGTGAGATAGAGGCAAGAAATGAGTGAACTTGCTTAGGCGATCTACGACGACCATGATTGTGCTTTTCCCTTGTGAGGGTGGAAGTCCCTCCACGAAGTCCATGGTTATGTCGTCCCATACCTGACATGGAATGGGTAGTGGTTGCATGAGTCCGGCTAGGGAGAGGGTCTCTGATTTATTTTTCTGGCACACTGCACAAGCGGCGACATATTTTTGAATTGATTGGTGCATAGACGACCAATAGAACTGTTGCGCCAATCACTTGTACGTCCGTAGTACCCCAGAGTGACCTCCATAGGGAGTGTCGTGGAATTCATGGAGGAGTTTTGGTACGATTGGAGAATCCGACGGAACAACTACCCTATTCTTATAGTAGATCAGCCCGTTGCGCCAACTGTATGGAGCTCCAGGTTTGTTTGTAGCTTGCTAACCGATCCGTACCATATATGGGTGATGTTGCGTATCTCTCTTGATCTCGTCCCATAGAGAGGCATGAGAAGTATATAATGTATGGAGGCTAGGACTTCCTAACCTCCTTGACAAAGCATCTGCGGCTGAGTTCTCTTTCCCCGGTTTGTACGAGATTTCATAATCATATCCTAGCAGCTTGGAAACCCATTTTTGTTGTTCAGGCGTGGTGATGCGCTGTTCCAGCAAGTACTTAAGGCTTCGCTGATCTGTTTGGATATAAAATTTGCGTCCCAGAAGGTATGCTCGCCATGTTTTGATTGCTTGTACGATGGCTAACATTTCCTTAGCGTAAATGGACCAAGCCTGCTTTGCAACTCCTAAGGCTTGGCTCATATAGGCTATGGGCTTCCCTTGTTGGTTAAGGACTGCTCCGATGCCTTCCCCTGATGCATCCGTCTCTATGACAAATGGTTCGTCAAAGTTGGGCATGGCCAAGGTTGGGGTCGACGACATGGCTTGTTTTAAGGCTTCAAATGCATCTTTGGCCTCCTTGCCCCATGCGAACTGGCCTTTCTTGAGCAGATTGGTGAGAGGCCGGGCTATCATTCCGTAGTTTCTTACGAACTTTCGGTAGTAGCCTGTGAGACCTAGGAAACCACGCAGTTCAGACACATTAGTAGGTTTAGGCCATTCTATCATAGCTCTTACCTTTCCAGGATCCATGTGCACCCCTTGTATAGAGACAATGTGACCCAAGTATTCGATCTCTTGTTGACCAAAGGCACACTTGCAAAGTTTAACAAAAAATTGGTGGTGTCTCAACACTTCGAAAACTTTTCGAACATGCATAAGATGCGTTTCCCAATTGATAGACTTTTCTTTTGAGGCAAGAAAATAGCCAGTGGTTTTATTGAAAAATTCCTCCTGTGTGCTCACAACCTCGGTCACTTGATGAAGATCCGCTTCGCTCAGTGACTTGGTTAAACTTAGGCTCTAGTTGTATCACAGCCGCTTCCGTGAGATTGCTGATTGCAGCCTCCAGTCGTTGCAGCTTCTCGCCAAATCCCAGCTCCAGGCGGTTGAAGCTTTCCTGCAAACTGCCCACACTGGTCTCCAGACTCTCTATACGCTCTTTGTGGCTTCCCATCGTCAACCTCGCTCTGATACCAATTGATAGACTTTTCTTTTGCGGCAAGAAAATAGCCTGTGGTTTTATTGAAAATTTCCTCCTCCCTGGTTCTGTATAACCCATGTTTAAATACAAGAAGTCACTCAACCAATTCTCCTAAACTCCAGCAACCGTCTATCCTATACTTTAGCAATATTCTTAGCCTAGTCAACAACAACTGACACAACCAATAGTGAGATATTCCCTCACTCGTTTATTTGATTCCTACTCATTTATTTGACTATTCTTAAGCCTAACAGCTAGCAGATATGCATGGCCACGCGTCCTGCCCTTCATGCAACGTAGTCCTGATAACGTGGATTCTTGGCATGGTTCCTTACTGACTTTCTCCACGTATCAGAGTTTCCTAATCCAAATCTTGTATTTAGATCTGGACTCTCTTTAAGAGATAAGGATAATCCCTTATCATATCTACAAATAAAAATCAGCCTTCCTAATCAAATTAGGAGTTTCTTGATCCAAATCTTTATTTGGATTTAAACTCTTTGAGTGGATAGGGATAATCCCTTATCCTATCTATTGATCTAAATCACAAAATCACCCCTATTTAATTAATCTTATTAAGCCAGTTCGAATTGGGCTTTAGGCCCATTAAGTCTATGTGCTCACTTAACCTCCTAATTTGCTACCCAGTTGGCTATCCTTGTATGGTGTGGGACCCAAACATTGATCTACACATCAGCCACATGGGTTCAGCCCAGCCTTTGTTACAAGGCCTGGCCGAATTCACTATAGGAGACAGTGAACCCTTGAGTCCATCACCATGGGCTCTTAATGGGCCCAACATTTACACTAAATGGTCCTTGGGTCAAGCCACCTTATACAAATCCAAGGACTATGGGCTGATGCAAGATTGACCCATTAGGTATTACCCTCAATGGTCTTACACTTAACCTCTCAGCCCATAATGATCAAACACTGCCCGACAAGAGAGGATCTCTCCCTCGGCTGCAAGGAACAGTGTTGCACTCTCTACTTACATGGATCCCGGGAATTAAAACCTTTTGCAAACATTTTGAAATCATAATATATATATATATATATGTATATGTATGTATATATATGTATCTCTATATAAATATATTTTGCAAAAAAACAAATTTCAACGATTGAAATTGACTATCGACAGTTTAGGTTTCCATCAAGGAGAGTGCATCCCCGATCATTCACTTTGTCCGACAAAGGGGTCCAACAAAGGAGTTGATCCTGTCACTATGATCACTCACTTAGATGAATTCTCGGACTATCCCAACATACCCAGGTTTTGACCCTCTCTAAGGATCTCACTGATTGGCATATCAAAGACAAATCAATCCGACACCTAGTGTAGTATCATAATCGAGTCTAAGGGTTAGGTGTAACATTCCAGTTTTGCCTATCTATCACCAAGGTCTAGGGCAATACCAGAATTCTGGTCCAGTTTAGGGTTCAAGAAAACCCACACTGCATGCACCTCAAGTCTCACCCTTGCAGCTAAGACAAGCCACCCCAACCAACTTGGCAGTACACCTGTGCCAGACTTAGAAGGGTAAATCTCCCCTGATCTATCCAACAACTGTGAAGATTCTAAACTAACACGAGTATCATATGTGTCCAGTTTAAGGGTATTACACAAAAACATACCATAATAACATGAAACAAATATGTACTTTATTCATTTACAATAAATGTCATAATGCACATCCTTCTGATTGGAGCTAAGGGCATACACTGTCTAACAGGGAACATCTTAAGTGATTCAAGGGATCCATTGATGGAATGCATACAATACCATGATGATAGTACTGCTCAAAAGAAATTTTAAGAAGATTCAACCATACATATAATTATGGGAGAACATTTGCGTTTGCTAATTGATTCATACTCATTGTGAATCCACTCATTAGAGGTGAGCATGGGTTGGTTCAATTCAGTTTCATGGTAGAACCTAGAACTTACCCTATAGGGTCGGTTCTAGGTTTTTGAAAGTAGAACCTACCCTGTAAAGGTCGATTCTGGGGCCAGTTCTATCCTTGGTGGTTTTGGGGCCGGTTCTGGCCTTGGTACTTCCAGGGTCGGTTCTAGGGTCCACTCATGGAACCTATTGTTTCTTCACTCTCCCCTTCAAAAATTAAAAAAAGAAGCATGTTCTTTAAAAACTTGATTTTCAATAAATATAATATATAGTTTGAAACTTATCTTTATTACCAATTGAGGGGTAGTCCATTTGGTGCGTTGGATGAATTATCCCAGTGGTGGTGTGGTTTCGGATCCCACTATTATAATCTTTGTAAGAAAAGAGTTCTTGATGTGATGTTGTACTATTCACTTAAAAGAGTAACAACCCCTAAGCGGGTGTAAATAAGTGACTAATACCAAAAAAAACTTATCTTTATTGATTAAATTGAGTAACTTTATATGTAGGTTATCATTATATGGTTCAAAACTTATAATTTAAATTTAAATTTTGTAAATATTAACTTTTACATTGCTTATTGTACATATTCAAATATTAAAATGAAAATAAATTATCAAATCACTTAAGTAACCCAATGGTCAAGTGAGAACATATGGCACTTGTAACCATGAGTGCATGGATTCAAATCTTCACATCCCCAAAAGTATTTTCAGTTCTAAGGCAGGTTCCACTAAGGGCAACCAAGGCTGGTTCATCAGATCGGTTCAGGTAGAGTAAACCCTAGACCTTGAAACTGACCTGAGTGGGGGCCAGTTCCAAGAAATTGGAACCAGATCCTACCTTGTAACAAATTGGATAGGATCGGTTCATGGATGGTTCAAGATTGGTTCCAAGTAGAACCTACCCATTTGCTCACTCCTACTACTCTAGTGGGCCAACCCCTACAATATGCTTCCAGTGGCCGCTTCTTGCCTCCGACCGACAATGTGTACAATATAACTAGCAACTTGTATTACGGGTGACAGTGGCAGTGGCACAAAACTATATATAATGTGCTATACCTAAGATTGTTTTGTTACTGGAAAGTATGGATTCCATGACCATGAGCTTGTCCACCAACTAGCCAACTTACCCCCTCTATTTCTAGTCGCTTGGAAGGGAATTTAAAGCATCTGTCATCTAAACACCCTAGCAATTGTAGACCACTGGAGCTTTTCCAATATTGCAGCATTTATATGCATGCATTCAAGCTTTCAAGGAGAGACATTATATAGAAACTTTGATTTGATGATATGCCATGCTATTTATCGACTTCTAGAGAGAGAGGATAAACATTTCCTGAGAAAGAATGAGTTATATCTCTCTCTAGGTATTTAACTTATGATGGCTTGCCTTGATCACCACAATTCAGAGCTAAGTTGTTAGATGGTTACCATACAACAAAAGAATTTCATACCAAAGCTTAATGAATTATCTTTGGGTTTCTAGCAGATAAGGGCAACTTTTTGCCTTGAATATGAATAAAAGATGATATGTTTATAAAATAACAAAAATAAGATAACTTTTTATGAAAAATATCAAAAAAGGGCTAGACATTGTTCATCGTCTTCCTCTGCCTCTTATTCATCCGAATACACTGTTCATGCGAGAGGTGGAGCAGGGCACAGGCAGTGTTCTCCTTTACAGTTGCTGTTTTGGTCTTGAAGCTGAGAACAGGTTCAGAATTGCAATGACACCGTTCTCTTGAATCTGAGCATCGCATCGGGTTTGAGGTTTTCTCTCTCTTTTCGTTTCTCCCGGGATTTGATGCTGTTGTAGAGGGGAAGATTGAAGAGAAAAAATGGAGCTTCAACTTCTCGAGCGGGTCTCCGTCTCTCATGGTGTCGCTCATACCAGGCGTGTTGCTGAATCTCTTACAGCATGCGAGTGACAAAGAGGTGAAGGTCGTTGGTGAGCACCGCTCGACGCTCTTGCAGGTAATTGAGATCATGGCAAAGTAGAGGATTCTTCTTGAAGGTTTCAGATTCATTGCATTCGGCTTACATTTCGATCTCAGATGAGGACGTCGATTTGATCTTCAACGATAAGATCTAGCTCGGGCAGTTTGTTCACATTTCTCGGCTCGACTCTGGATCGCCCGTTCCATTGCTTCGTGGTGTTAAGTCTGTGCCGAAGAGGCTCTTGAAGCCGAGCATCAGAAGAGGAGATAAGAGAGATAAGAGGCCTTACAGCCCCAGCACGAGCAATCTTGAGGCGGTTTTCTTGCTTGTTCTTGGCGAGGAGTCTAAGATCCATGGTCACCTAGTGCGAGAGAGCAAAGAACGAAGGGGGAACTGTTCATCGTCTTCTACCTCTGTATTCATCCGAATACACTGGATTTGAAGCTTCAGTGATATTTTTCAAAACAATCATAAAGGCAGAGGAAGAAGAAGATGATGAGCAGTGAAATTGCCATTCCTTGATCTTTTTTTCGAAAAAAAAGTTATTTTATTTTTATTATTTTATAAAAATATTATCTTTTATTGATATTCAGGGCAAAAAGTTGCCCTTATCTGCTAGAAACCCATTATCATTTCCAAAGTTTACTCTTCATCCATAGGCTAGTTTCGAATTACATACAACAGAAAATTCACACAACATCCAATAGCCCCCAGAACAACAAGAACCCGAACCCAAAGAGATGAAATAAATGCTTTCAGCACAATTGCATTCCATGACCAAAACCACAAGATGGAGAAAATGGACCCCAAGACAGCCCCCACTATGACTTGGCTGAGTGTATGGAGTTGTTGCGAGACCCTTAGCCATGACTGCCAACAAGATAAAATACAAATGTTATATCAATCCATTACTTTCTTACCACATACACTTCTCAATATTCCCCAATACTATTAAAATACATCCCAACTTATATACTTAGAATGAGGAAAATACATGAGCTAGGAGTGATCCAATTGACTTCACAATTTTGTGAAAAAGGAAAAGGTTGCAACAGTAAGAATTCCTAAGAAGTCATTAATCAAAGTGCATTAAATGCGTTTTAAATGAAATTGTATCTTTCCTTGGTACTTCAAATCTTTAAGCAACTTTTTCCCTCCATTGCTGAAACCTGCCCTGAAGTTTCTGGTCATTGCTGAAACTTCCCTTGAAGTTTGGTAATTGCAATCACCTCTCCTAAACTTTTTGACATAGTTGCAAGTAGATCCCCTTTGTTAGATTCCTCTAAAAAGAGGCATGAAAATGTCCAAAAATACCCATGCAATTACTTTTGATTAAAATGTTTATTTTCCAAATTTTCTCTTCATATGAATCACTAGTCCAAACCCTTCCAATCTCTTTTCTGAAATTGATTTATTTTTCAAATTTGCCCTTCATATCAATCACTCAAAGGTAAAGCTGCAACTTTAAATTCTATTTGTTTTTATGTTGTTTATAAAGTTTGTAGTGTTTTTTCTGTAGAAACCAACCTCTTTAGTAACTGCATGGGTATTTTGGACATTTTCATGCCTCTTGTTAGAGGATTCTAAAAGAGGGGGTCTACTTGCAACTTAGTCATAAAGTTCAGGGGAGGTTTCAGCAATTTACCCCAACCTTTTCCCTTAAAACTGTCCCTTAGCAGTTCTCTATTTATAAAAAGATACTGCTTCTAGGCTGCATTTGGCATTCCTTATTTTAAGGACTTATCTCCTTTTTGTAGTTAAAAACTTTCTGTTCATAAGGGCATTTTAACTGCAAAGAGGTGATAAGTCCTTAAAATAAGGAATGCCAAATGATGCCCTAGTAAGTTTAGGTATCATTTCTGCCTTGTCTTGTCTAAGTTTACTCCTATACATGTTTATGTTACAAAGGAGATAGTTTAGTTGTGAAAAGGTTGTACAATTCTCTTTTAGTGATTCCATGGTAAGAAGTAACATTGCTAACAGACCAAACAAAAGTGAGAAAGTAATAAACTTGTTTATAGTAAGAACTCAAATGCAATGATACTTACAAAGTATGAGCCACAAGCCAAGACAAACACCCCGACAATTATGGTGAATCCATTGATCCCTAGCCACTCAACCACTAACACAGGAAAAAAAAAAGGAAAGGTAAATAAACAAGTATAATATGTAAGAAAAGAAAATGCACAATATGCACTATATGTCCTATTACTTTCTCAATAAAAGGACATTTAGTTAACGTTAACAACAGCAACCTAGCCTTCACCAAGTAACCATTGTAATGCAAATTCTATGGTACAGAAACATGTTGTGTGGTAACTGGTATCAATTCCCTTAAATTAATGTAGAATATACACCTAGACTGTAAATATTGCACCTCAATTTCACAAACAGTAATGTAGTTTGGCACACTATGTACAATTCTCTCAGGAAGCAATATTTATAGCCCAAAATGTTTTCAAGCACTGATAAGAAATTTAACTGGACCAAGGCCTGTCTGAACTATGAGTCAGCAAACTAATTATCTTGGAAAGAACCCAAACTTCTGGATGTTGGGGTTCCCTTCTTATGAGGTGGGACCCACTAATAAAGGCAAGAAAAAGGAAAGAAAGAAAAAGACAAAAAAAAAGGAATTGGAAGGTCAAGGGACTTTTTGCATTGGCTTGCAAGGCAAGCCAACATGTCCTTGGCTAACCAACGAATTGGAGAGAGCACTCTCTCTACTCTCTCAACTCTAATAGTTCTTTAGGAAATATCAGAGAACAGAAAAAGGGTTTTGAGAAGAAGGTTTTGGGAAGAAGAAGAAGAGTTATAAGGGCTGAAACTGTTAGACAGTTTTGTATGCCCTTAGCTTCAATCCGACTTGATGTACTTTTGTTATTTAGTGGAAATAAATAAAGTGCATGTTTGATTCATGTTGTT